ACTGAGGCACAGAAAGATTAAGTAACTTGCCTAAAATCACACAGCAAGTTAGTAATATAGGTTTGTTTTTTGAGACAGAGTCTCATTCTGTTGCCTAGGCTAGAGTGCTATGGTGTCAGCCTAGCCTCACGGCAACCTCAAACTCCTGGGCTCAAGCGATCCTCCTGCCTCAGCCTTCCAAGTAGCTGGTACTACTACAGGCATGCGCCACCATGCCCGGGTTATTTATTTATATATATATATATATATATATGTGTGTGTGTGTGTATATATATATATATATATGTATATATATGTGTGTTTTTTTTTAGTTGTCTACCTAATTTCTTTCTATTTTTTTAGTAGAGACGGGGTCTCGCTCCTGTTCAGGCTGGTCTCGAACTCCTGAGCATAAATGATCCTCCTGCCTCGGCCTCCCAGAGCGCTAGGATTACAGGCATGAGCCACCATGTCCAGCCAGTAATATATGTTTTTGAAATGAGTTTTTATTCACAAGCCTGATAAATATTTGGGACTTTGGATCAGCCTATTATCAATCATCTTTATCATTTTTAATTTCTAAAAAAAGCACTTTGTTTTTCAATTCAATTTAGTGTGCATTAAATTTTTTTCTGTGCAGAATTTAGTGCTTATGCTATCCACTCTTATGAAGTTTGGGTAAAAATCACTTTCAAGAAAGCTTTTATTTACAGTACTTTACATAGTGAATGTTTTATTTGTATTTACTGTAATAGGGCAGTAATTTAGTTAAGTAATGATATTCTATACTTCAACTACTTCATTACCCAGTTATTTCTAAAGTAATGAGTTTTTTTAAGAAATTAGGTAATCTAGTGATTACCTCATTCTGGGAGGCTGAAGTGGGAGGACTGCTTGAGCTCAGGACTTCTAAGACCAGCCTGAGCAAGAGCGAGACCCCGTCTGTACTAAAAATAGAAAGATTAGCAGGGCATCATGGCAGGCGGCTATAATCCGAGATACTTGGGAGATTGAGGCAAGAGTATCACTAAGCTCAGGAGTTTGAGGTTGCAGTCAGCTACAATGATGCTACTGCATTCTACCCAGGGTGACAGAGTAAGACTCTTGTTGAAAGAAAGAAAAGAAAGGATAAAAAGGGAAGTAAGGGAAGGAAGTGGGGGTAGGGAGGAAGGGAGGTAGGAAGGAAGGAAGGAATCATTTTATCCAAAGCATCTATAATTCAAATAGCATACATAAATCTTCATCCTATACTCAATATTCTAGGCAAATATAAACTAAGAAAAGTTCTTTAAAAATAATTATAGAATTGAATCTACGTTTATACTTTCCATTCAGTCACTCTACATTAGCCTAATATTCGAGAGCTGCAGTCTCCAACCCTTGGGCCATGGACCAATACAGGTCTGTGGCCTGTTAGAACCAGGCCACACAGCAGAGAGTGAGTGGCAGTGAGCAAGTGAAGCTTCATCTGTATTAATATTTACAGCCACTCCCCATGGCTAGCATCACTGCCTGAGCTCCATTTTATGCCAGATCAGCAGTGGCATTAGATTCTCATAAGAACTTGAACCCTACTATAAATTGCGTATGCAAGGGATCTAGGTTGCACACTCCTTATGAGAATCTAATGCCTGATGATCTGAGGTGCAGCCGAGGTGGTGATGCTAGCACTGGGGAGTGGCTACAAATACAAATTATCATTAGCAGAGAGCTATGACTGCACAATAAATGAAATGCACTCGAATCACCCTGAAACCAACCCCTATGCCAGTCCACGGAAAAATTATCCTTCATGAAACAGGTCCCCAGTGCCAAAAAGTTTGGGGACCGCTATTCTAGAGAATGATTTAATAACAATAAATAATATAGAAAAATGTCTTAGAGTTCACAATATAATTTTACAAAAACTTATTCAAGTGAAAAAAAAATTTTTTTGACACAGCGTCTTGCTGTCTCATGGGCTAGAGTTAAGTGACATCATAATAGTTCACCGCAATCTCCAACTCCTGGGCTCAAGCAATCTTCCTGCCTCAGTCTCCCAAGTAGCTGGCCCTACAGGTGTGCACCATCACACCCAGCTTATTTTTCCATTTTTCGTATGGATGGGGTCTCACTCTTGCTCAGGCTGGTCTGGAACTTCCGGCCTCAAACAATCCTACTACTTTAACACCTGCTAGGATTACAGATGTAAGCAACCACACGTAGCCTCAAGTGAAATTTTTATAGTGTTTCTAAAGTTCTTACAACTGTCTATTATCTAGGCACTTACAAGTTGAATATTTATATTTGAGAACATCAATTTACCATTAATTCCACTTTATAGTTGTATTTTTTCCAAGTAAAATCTTTGTTTCATAATGAAAACCCAACAAGTAGCTACTTAAAAACTGGAAAGAAGAGAAACATTAACAAATTCTCTACGACTTCCAATTACAACTTCACTGTGAAAGATAGCTACTTGTTAACTTATGCCTATGTTTGGCTTATGGTAATTGCCATAACACACACTTAAACACGATGTGTTTTATTGACTTACCCAAATGATTGTAATGAAAACTTTAATTCAAACAAATAATTATAGTATATGTATAATCAGGCCTCCATCAAAAACATTTAAGTGTTCTATTATATTGCTAATAAAAGTACTTTAATGTCTAACATCCAAACTAGCCATATAGAATATAGTACATATGATTACTGGGCAAATTTGAACTATATTCAAAACTTGTATTTACAATACATAAATAGATGATAGTACTCATTTGTAAGGGATCAAAAGCTAATATTCTGTTTTTACCTTTATGCTTGACTATAGAAACTATTTATCAGAGTATAGTCATCCCTCAGTTGTCAAGGAAGATTGGTTCCAGGATCTCCTGCAGATACCAAAATCTGCAGATGCTCAAGTCCCTGATAAAAAATGGTGTAGCAGTATTTGCATGTAACCTATACACATCCTCCTGTATACTTTAAATCATCTCTGGGTTACTTATACCTAATAAAATGTAAATGCTATGTAAATAGTTGTTTATTGTTTAGGGAATAAAGAAAAAAAGTCTGTACATGTTCGGCACAGCTGCAAACTTTTTAAAAAATATTTTCAATCTGCAGTAGGTTGAATCCAAGGATGCAGAACCCTTGGAATTGGAGGGCTAACTATAATTAAGTGTACAACCTCTACGCTTTTCAACTCTTTAAAATGTAAAGTATTTTATTTTAAACTTCCTTTTCTTTTTCTTTTTTTTTGAGGCAGAGTCTCACTCTGTTGCCCAACCTAGAGTGCCACAGAATCAGCCTAGCTCACAGCAACCTCAAACTCCTGGGCTCAAGCAATTCTCCCGCTTCAGCCTCCCATGTAGCTGGGACTACAGGCATGCGCCACTATGCCCGGCTAATTTTTTCTATGTACTTTTAGTTGGCCAATTAATTTATTTCTATTTTTAGTAGAGACACGGTCTCACTCTTGCTCAGGCTGGTTTCGAACTCCTGACCTTGAATGTTCCACGTGCCTCAGCCTCCCAGAGTGCTAGGTACAGGCGTGAGCCACTGCACCCGACCAAGAAATTTTAAACTTCTAAACTACAATTTACAATTATCAAGTATAGGTTCAAACTATTTGTTCTGGCATATTGTGCATGTAAGTATTTCCCCATTAACAAATAAAAGTCAATCATATTAATAACTTCATTCTCTAATCTAAATTGAATTACTAAACCCTTTAAAACTCTGTTATCAGTGTTTATTCATATAGTCTCTTCTAATAAACTATAAGCAATGTAAGCCGGGACCTATGTGAAAATTTATCTTAAGTGAATGAATAAGTAATAGTATTATGGCTAAGTCACCTCTACTTGCACATAAACATCAAAAATCAATCCCTGTAAAATCTACATTTGGCTGTGTTACAGAATAAGAATATATAAAAGAACAAAAAATTTATTACCTTTATATTCATTTTTAAAAATACTTTGTTCCCTTTTAGAAGGTTATGGTGGTTGAACAACAAAAGGTAAAGAGAATAGAGTACATACTGATAAATTGATTTATGTGAAATTCTTAAAAGGCAAAACTAATCTATGGTAATGAAAATCAGATCAGTAGATACCCAGGGCTGGAGTGGGCAGGAGTAACTACAAAGGAGCAAGAAGTAGCTTTACTGAATGATTGAAATGCTCTACATCTTGACTATGGTGCTTAAACTTAAAAAAAATCACAAAAAACAAAAAGTCTGGGCGTGGTGGCTCACGCCTGTAATCCTAGCACTCTGGGAGGCCGAGGCAGGGCGGATTGCTTGAGGTCAGGAGTCCGAAACCAGACTGAGCAAGAGCGAGACCCCGTCTCTACTATAAAATAGAAAGAAATTAATTGGGCAAATAATACATATAGAAAAAATTAGCCGGGCATGGTGGCGCATGCCTGTAGTCCCAGCTATTCGGGAGGCTGAGGCAAAAGGATCGCTTGAGCCCAGGAGTTTGAGGTTGCTGTGAGCTAGGCTGACGCCATGGCACTCACTCTAGCCTGGGAAACAAAGCAAGACTCTTGTCTCCCAAAAAAAAAAAAACTTCATGGAACATTTAAAATGGGTGCACTTCTGTACCTCTGTAAAGAAGGTTTTTAAAAAGAGGTGAAATAGAGAAAGAATACAAGAGTAGTAACAGAACCAACAAATGTAGAGAATATCACAGGTGGAAGGGATAGATAAAAAATAAAGTAGAGGCCGGGCATGGTGGCTCACACCTGTAATCCTAGCACTTTGGGAGGCCAAGGCGGGCGGATTGCTCAAGGTCAGGAGTTCAAAACCAGCCTGAGCGAGACCCCGTCTCTACCAAAAATAGAAATAAATTAATTGACCAACTAAAAATATATATACAAAAAATTAGCCGGGCATGGTGGTGCATGCCTGTAGTCCCAACTACTCGGGAAGCTGAGGCAGTAGGATCACTGAGCCCCGGAGACTGAGGTTGCTGTGAGCCAGGCTGACGCCACGGCACTCACTCTAGCCTGGGCAACAAAGTGAGACTCTGTCTCAAAAAAAATAAAAAATAAAAAAAATAAAGTAGAAAGGGAAACCAAAATAAATGAATATAGCTCTATGCAAAATATCACTATTCATACAGCATTTTATAATTTCCAAAGTCCTCCAACATATTTCAGTTGTTTTCCTCATAACTCTTAAGTTAGCACTGATAATGTCCCTGCTTAAGAAAAGGGGTGCTTTTGCAATTTCGCACAGGGTCTCAGGGCCAAAATAGAATTAGAACCCAGATCTTCTATATTCCTAAAACAGAACTTTCAGGAAGTTAAGGAAACAAAGACCAACCATGAGAAGAAACAGAATTAACTCCTGAGGCTTCTATTAATACTATTTATTCTGTTGCTCATCTCTTCTCAAGTTTACTTTGTCTCTGAAACATACCAACAGAAATAGGGAGCAATGACTTCCATGCTTCCATATACCTACTGCCAAAGAAATCAAGAGGCCATGGCACTTCCATTTATAAAGTAATTCTCCTTAGGAGGTGTCTTCTGCCTTTCCTACTTTTCACTTCTGAGGCCCATCATCAGCCAAAACAGAGGTGTTTCGACCAGCCATCTGTTTCAGATACTCACCAAAGCCAGGCAATGATTTGCTAATTGTGAGTGTTAAAATCTTCCCCCAAAGGGTCATACCCATATTCTTTACTGATATGTGTGGCAGAATTTCTCTCATTATTTTATGGAAGGGGCTTAGCTAAAGAATTCAACACAAAGTACTCTTTTTATATCATCCGAAGAGTGGCGTAGTCCCATTAGGGCTCAAAGGGTAAATGCCAATTATCAAATGTTTTTACTGTAAAAGAGTCAGTATAAGCTCCTAACACTTGGGTAAAACTGTTGAAGTTCAAATTCTAGCCTCATCCACTACATAAATGACCTCGGGCAAATTAATGAATCCCTTTGTATCTTCATTTATGAAATAGGGATATTGGTACTACATCACAGAATTTTTCAGACAATTAAATGTGAAGAATATCTTTCAAATGTTGTTACACATAAATTGCTTGACACATATACTGGCAAAAAAGGTTTTCAATTATTACCAATACTAAATTTATTATTCTTTCTTCTCTTGAACTACTAACATTATTTCTTTTGATAAATGTCCTATAAATACTTCTGTAAGTAGATTTTTAAAAATTAAAACTAATTTTATAAAGAAAAGCATAATCAACAACTTAGCTCACTATTAGAAACTTTTCTGTTCTTGTTCAGCTTTAAAACTAAATACCAGGCCAGGTGAGGTGGCTCACGCCCTGTAATCCTAGCACTCTGGGAGGCCAAGGCAGGCAGACTGCTCAAGGTCAGGAGTTCAAAACCAGTCTGAGCAAGAGCAAGACCCCATCGCTACTAAAAATACACAGAAATTAATTAGACAACTAAAAATACATAGAAAAAAAAATTAGCCGGATATGGTGGCGCATGCCTGTAGTCCCAGCTATTTGGGAGGCTGAGGCAGAAGGATTGCTTGAGCTCAGGAATTTTTTTTTTTTTTTTTTTTTTTTTGAGACAGAGTCTCGCTTTGTTGCCAGGCTAGAGTGAGTGCCGTGGCGTCAGCCTAGCTCACAGCAACCTCAAACTCCTGGGCTCGAGTGATCCTTCTGCCTCAGCCTCCCGGGTACTGGGACTACAGGCATGCGCCACCATGCCGCGCTAATTTTTTATAATATACCAGTTGGCCATATTTTTTCTATTTATAGTGAGACGGGGTCTCGCTCTTGCTCAGGCTGGTTTCGACTCCTGACCTTGAGCAATCCGCCCCGTCGGCTCCCCAGAGCTAGGATTACAGGCGTGAGCCACAGCGCCCGGCCGAGCTCAGGAATTTGAGGTTGCTGTGACCTAGGCTGACGCCAGAGCACTCTAGCCTGGGCAACAGAGTGAGACTCGCCTCAATAAATAAATAAACAAACAAACAAAAAAATTAAATACCAAATTTAATAAAGAACTAATCACTTGCTCCAGGTCAGGAGTTCGAAACCAGCCTGAGCAAAGCAAGACCCCGTCTCTACTATAAATAGAAAGAATTAATTGGCCAACTAATATATATAGAAAAAATTAGCTGGGCATGGTGGCGCATGCCTGTAGTCTCAGCTACTTGGGAGGCTGAGGCAGCAGGATTGCATGAGCCTAGGAGTTTGAGGTTGCTGTGAGTTATGCTGACTCCACAGCACTCACTGTAGCTTGGGCAACAAAAGTGAGACTCTGTCTCAAAAAAAAAAAAAAAAAAAAAAAAGAACTAATCGCAATGTTTTCTGAATGAGAAAGAAGTGGTAAACATTCATGGCTGGCAAGCAATAAGGATCACTACCTATTTATCAAGTAAATATTAAAAATAGAAGAGAAAAATATCTATTTTTTAAAAATTAAGAATAAATGAAAGTAACTGAAATCTCATGTAACACATCTTTAGTTCAAATCATCAAAAATGTAAATCATGTATCATACATCAGGTTTTATTTATATGTGAAAGGTGAACCCATTATCTGCAGTTAATCCATTTAGAAAATTTATATCTTTTCTCTCAAGTCCATAATTATAATTAATTAGTTTTATGCCTTATCAGTTTTTTATCCTGGATTTTTATTAACAGGAAATAGATGACACATGAATCTCTTTTATGTAACTTGAAATAAAATCTTAGCAATAGCAAGAAAAGAAATTAACATAAGTTAATGAGCCACATCTCTACTGAAGAATGTCATTTACCTCTTTAAAGTTAACAGCACTATTCTGTGTCACTAAATAATGAGGCCCAATTGATCTCTCAGATTAATTTAATCTTTTAGTTTTTCTAATTGCCTGTTGTTATTCTTAATAGAAAATACAACCTGATGAATCAATCTTTTCATATAAAAAGTGGCTATGTTTTACATATAATACTGATCACAATAGGAAATGCTTTTCTGTATTACCACTTGCAAGTTTTAGAGGACTACTGGAATAATTACAGTGGAGTTAAGAGTTAATTAAGATTAGGCTCAGAACACCTGATTAGAATATGAATTTCTGTCCTTTACCTGTAATAAGTGGTAGAATTCCAGTATTAAACGAAAATAATTAAAACATAGTTTAGGAAGAGACATGAAAACACATGGCAGGAAATCAAAGAGAGAGATGGATCGAAAGGCAAGAACAGGGATGAATTACGTATAACTTTTGACATTTTGAACTTCATTATTTCCACAATATTTTTACTTTACTAGGTATAGATCCATAGATGAATAGATACTAAACATTCAAATAATTCAATAGATTATTTTTAATGTTAAATATTTCCAAAAAAATTCCATCCAATAAGATAGCTACATATATATCACCTCAGAGACATTTATGGTCTAACTATCACACTAACATGGACCCCAGGAAGAGAAATAAATCGGGTTTAATGGCAATTCAGAAATATTCCATAAAGTCAATAAAACATCCACACTATTTTTAGGATTTTCATTTGTGAGCTATAAAGTATAATTATGCATGATAAAAATAAAATAACCTCTTAATCTATTTGTCTACTTTCATTTCTTAGTTTTTCATATGGCAAACAATGTATGCCAAAATGAATATTTTTCAGTACAGAATGTATAAGAAATAGGGCCTTTTTCCCTGTTGTTGAACTTTTTCCCCAGGTAGTTCAAAGAAGAACCCTAGCCTTTAAATTTGAAACCTCCTAACTGCAAACCATTTTATTTTTTAAATATAGACAAACTATGTTCTTTAAAAATGACAGAGAAAACAGAATCAAAAAGTGAAAATCCATAGTATATACTTTTGTCCACAATTTTTTCTATAGAAGTTACTTTTAACATAACTACAACAGCATCATTTTTTTACTTATTTCAATAAGACCCACATGTTTATTACGGGGTCATCAGGAACATAATTTTAATGGTTATGTATTATTATTTATTAATTAGTTATATCCCTTTTCTATTGCCAGGCAATTACCACATTGAATAAAAAAGGTGGTAGCAAGAAGGACCAACATTGTTTGACAGGTGGATTAAATGCAAACTCAATTGAACAATAAAGATATTTTGAATCTATTTCTAAAGCTTAATGATACCCAATTGCAGGTTTTCCAACTTTGTTTTCCTAAAAGAACTTACATTTGGGAAATGTATGTTCTATTAATATTAAATAATTAACAAATTGTATTATACCAATTACTTAAATTCTCCTCACTCTATGCTGAGTTTTTAATTATTAGATGGAAATCTAGATTATTGATGTAAAGCATGTATACATAAATGTTACTAGACACTACTTTATATTATGTACCATAGGGAGTCAGTACAGCATAGTAAGAGCACAGACTCTAAAGTGAGACTACCTGAGTTAGAATCTTCAACTTAATAAGGTTGAAGCTTACTAGCTATGTGACTCTGGTTAAGTTACTGCACCTCCCTACACCTTTGTTTCCTCATCTCTAAAGTAGGATAATAAAAACCATCTCAAAGGGTTGTTAGGAGAATTCAGTGAGTTCATTCATACTGGTAAAGTTCTTGGCATAAGGTAAGCGCTCTTCAGATGTTTGTTGTTTAAAACTTTTTAATTTAACTGACACTTATTCAGCACTTACTATGTGCTAGCTTAAATGCTTTACATAAATTTGCCTCAAATAATCTTCACAATAACATAGGGTAAAGATAATATTATTACCCCCACTTAAAGATGAGAAAAGTAAAGCACAAAAGGATTAAATAATTAGGCCAAGGCCACACAAATAAATATCAGAACAAGGATTTGAACCCAAGTCTCATAGCATAGCCTACGATTTTAACATAGATCATGATACACTATATACTAGAAGTAGTAGCCTCCTACTATACTATATCTTGAAAAAAGGGCAGAAGAGCCACAAAAGACTTAGCTGAAATAAACTAGAGTATGTATTGCTTGGAATAAAATAGAATATTTTAAAAATTAATGTAATAAATAAGTCACTATAATATAGAAATATTTATTTATGAAGCAATATGTATGATATTTGTTTTAAAATAATCCAGCTTGGGGGAAAGGAAAGAAAAGAAACAAAATTAGATTGGTAATTGTTAAAGTTTGGTAATGAGTATATGGGGGTTCATTATTTTATTCTCTCTACTTTTATGTATTCCTAAAATCTCCATAACAAAAGGTTAAAAAATAGCAATAGGGTGGCATAGTTAATACTTCATTACACAAGCAAACAACTTTTTATGACATGCTGTATCAAAAATGTAAAAAGGACATGATTTACTTGATACTCACACATTTTACATCTTATATATAATCTATAAAAGGGTGGTCTTACTTTAAATAGTTGAGTATCTTCTCAACCAAAATAAAATATTAACAGAAGTATTTTGGCACAAACATGAATATACATACTAAGTGGTTGTCTGTAGTTCCATCAACTCACTAAAAAAAAATTTCTTAAATAATAAACATTCTTTTCTTTTCTTTTTTTTTTTCCATTTCTTTCTCCTGCCTGATAATCTCTATGACCATGACAACACTCTCTGGTTTGTTGCCCAGGAAATGGATGGGTTTGTACAGACAAATATCATTCCATAACATGGTCACAAATTGAACAATATAATTAAAAACCAGAAATCTGCTTCACTAAGAAACACTTCTAAAAATTTCTCGCTTCAAATTGTAGTTGTAAAAATATCTTTCTTTCATATGAATACATGTATATGGGCTTCTTATATGTACAAATATAACCAATAATTAATTAGAGAACTTTTTATATGCTCTGTTAAGCATATAAAGCATGAGAGAATCTTTATATGTACTGTTAAGCTGATACTTAAGGAAAAAACTAACATTTATTAAGCTACTCTATACTGGGCACTTTAAACACATTAGCTCGCTAAACTTAAGAGATAACTACATTTTTATACAAAGAATACTAAAGTTTAGAGAAGTAAAATCCCATGCCCAAGGTCACAGAGCTAATAAGTAGCTAAACTGGTATTCAAACTTAAGCTCAATTATAAACCCATTTTTTTTCCCACTACCACACTACCAGTAAGGGAGGCAAAAATCTATACTCAAGTCAAACTTAAATATTTAGGGCCTTTTTTAAGTGGGCCAAAAATGTTAAAGTTACTGGTTACATAGGTATTTCACAGTGGCAGCTTGGCTTTGGGTACAGAACACTAAAACACAGAAAGTACTGTTTCTGCTACTGTGGGACTTTTTTTTAAGTCTCTTAATTTTGGCCTTAGTTTCTCAACTCTATGTTGGGGAAATTAGTATCTCTGCTGTGAAATTTCAGAATTACAAGGACTCAAAGATGACATATGTGAAATCTCTTCAAAATCTACAAAAACAACATAGAGTATTTATCTTAAAATGCTAAAAAAATACAAAAATAAAGTTTTCTAAAGTAACTGTCAGCTGTTAAAGCTATTGTACAGATTCTATTAACATTGCCAGAATTTTCTAAAACCCTTTTTTCTAAGCGTAGCTCAATCATTATCTCTATTACTTGGCTTTCCTTATCTTTAAACATAATGCAATAGTAATAGCATCAATACTTTTGTAATAAATAATTAACATATCATTTTGAAATGTTCAGCATATAAAAGTTCTGAATTTTCAAACTAAGTATGTGTTTGGTGTCACTCTTTTAGTTATATTCATCATTTTAAATGTCTGGGCCTTATCACATTCAGTTTGTGTGTAAAAAGCTAGAATTAAGATTCGAATTCTAAAGTAGAACACCCAACACATAATTTAAAATGATTTTTCAAGGCTTCTCAAAGAAGATACAACAGCCAACAAGCACATCAAACGCAGCAGCAAAATCTACTGAAACATTTAGCTGCTCTAAAAGAAGGATCAGGCTCTTCAGGAGAAAACAACATTGTGTGAGTTTGCAAAGTTTCACACTTTCCCATTTAAACTCCATTTCAGAGAAAGCCTTTGCATACTAACACAATATGCTTTAAAATGGCACTTTGCTGACCTTCCAATAGTCCAGCTCTATGAAAATTCTGTGATGGGTGTAACTTCAGAGAATCTGAAAAACACAAAAAGCATTAGGTACTTTTTATGCTGAATGAGGAAAAAAATGCCAAGGATAGCATACATCTCTTATATAACTGTCATGTATTTTAAAGAGCTAAAGCCCATATTTGTGAATATATTTCCTTCAAAAGGAAGGTTGAATTGTCTCTACATTGGTCTCTAAGCTAAACTTAGATTTTCATTAAGTATTTGTTTCATGGAAAATTATCTGATGATTACTGCCCAAATGGTGTTAATGTCTTGACTATTTTTAGCACCCATTTGTAACACATTATTAGCCCTGCTCTAAGAGTCATCTCTTGATATTGTCTTTCTTCTGGCACTCAAAATTATAATATTTCTAAACCTACTTCAGGTAACGCTGCCCAAAAAACATCCTACAGGATAGTGACTGCCAACTAAAGCCATGGGAGCAACAATGGCTACAGTTACTAAGTAGGACTCTGTGTACAAACTCAACAGTCAGTCTACAAAGTCCTGTACCTTCCAGAGTTAAACCATCTCACTTTGATTCACTTAAACAATTTAAATACACTAATATGTGAAGCTGAAATCCTTTTTTTTTTTGGAGGAGGTGGAATCAGCAGATGGATAAATCAAAACAAAAGCAGAAGGAACGCTGAATTTCTCAGAAAGGGGGTTCACAATGGCACATTTTTTAATATGCAGAAATGAATAGTTAACAACCCAGTTATGTCTTTTGCCCCCACCTCCACCCCGTGGTTTAAAAAGCGGTGAAGAGTGCAGTGGGAGTATTTTGATTTTGATGCCCCTTGCACAGGGAACCTGTTCTGACACATTCTTGTGGTGTCCAGTATAGGAATTTAACCTGAGTAGAGATCAGCTTAAGTGTTAATATTTCAGATGCTAGGAATCCCCTGCAGGCCTAAGCCAAAAGAGTTTTTAAATGAATATCTCTGTCCAGTGCTCCCTCCCCGCAATGAGCCTTTGAACAGCAAAAAAGAGAAAATTCTCAAAGGACAGCGTCTGTGCCTGAGCTGGTACTCATGGGAGAGGTGAGGAATAAAACCAACCCAGAGAGAGTACCCCCAGCTTTGTAAAAGAGAGGGAGAAGTAAGAAATTAGAATGCCACGGAGGTGGCATGAGAGAAAAGAAAATTCGGGCCCTTTCTAGCAATAAGATGACGAGGAAAGGAAGAACGCCTGTTCAAGGGGGGCTGTCCCAACAAGGGGAGGGAGTGGACTAGGCCGGAGGGAGACCGGGGTAGAACGTCGGCGCACAAACAAGCTGGAGGGGGAGAATAATGGTGACCCCGCACCCAGAACCGGCTCCAGGCCAGGCCGCCAGCTCGGGGGCAACTTTGCTGGGGAGGAGGGTCCTGGTAAGAGAAGCCGCCGCGCGCCGATCGCGGCGGCCCCAGCGAGGGGCCCAGTCTGGGGTGATCCCCAAGCGGGGGAGGCTGGGGCCGGCCGCCCGCGGAGTGCGGCGAGGCTGGACCGGCTGAGAGCCACTCTGAGCGATCGGTACCGCAGAGACCCGGGGGCCGACGGAATCTGGGCCCCGGGCGGCCGGCGTCCCCGCGGGGCAGGCGACTCCTCGGCTTGACCCCTCCACCAGACCCCGATCCCAGGGGCCTCTCCCCTCCCCAGCAAGAGAGGCCCCTGGGGTCGGGGCCGAGCCGCCTCCCGCCCCGACGGGGACCCCCTGCCTCCCCGGGGCCCGGTCTCCCCGCCCCCACGCCCCACCCCCCAGCCTGACTCACCTCGCGAGTACAGGGACTTGGGCGATTCCAGGTCTAGGTCCGCGCTGAGCAATGAGATGAAGTCCGAGGGCATCGCAACTCGACCCAGCCCGGCCCGAGGGCAGCGGGAGGGGGGGAGCGGCGGTGGCGGCGGCACCTCCTCTCCGGGACCGCGGGCACCGAACCGGGGGCGGCGAGACGAGGGCGGCTGCTGCTGCCTCCTCCTCGAGGGCAGTGACTTCCACCGGGCCGAGGACCGAGGAAACGGCGGCGGGCTGGAGGGGAAACTCCAGAACGACTGATTCCCGGCGAGCCAGGAGAGGGGTTCAGGGCGGGGAAGGGGAGGGGGGAGAGCCAACGGGTCCTTTTCGTGCTTCTCCTCAGCGAAAACTGACGGACGCCGCCACCGCCGCCGCCGCTGACAGGAATCTGAGCCCCGCCCCCCGCGGGGCACTGCGCAGGCGCGGAGGGGGGCGTACGGGAGCTGGGAAGAGCCCAGCAGCCGCCGGAGGGCGGGGAGGTGTTCCCTAGAACAGCATCAACAAGGGCTTCGCTTCCTGCCGCCGCGGTCCGGCTGCTTTCCCGAGCCGGGAAAGGGCCCCGCCGGCAGGGAGGGAGGGAGGGAGGCGGGGAGGTGTCCGCACGCTGGGGCCCCAGGGAGGGAAAAGGTATTTGCACCGGCCTGGTGGCGGCGAGCCTGAGGCGGCGGGCCTCACTCCGGGCTGAGCGCAGGACACAGACCCAGGGGAACCGAGGTGTCTGCGCGCAGAGGGAAAGGACCCCAGAGACGGGCGGCGGCCAGGCTGGGCTAGCTTGGGGTCTCGCAGGAGAATGGAGCTTCATCGCTTGGACAGCCACCAGCCCTTTGGGGTTTTCATAGCAATGTCCACATCGAGCTGGCCAAAGGACTGTCAGACTCATTTCTTAATTAGGAAATGGCAGACCATATACTAAAATTTTTCCTCGAGTTATCGTTTTTAGTGACTTTCTCCCCTACCCCAACCCTTTGTAGGCTGAACATTTTTTTAAAAAAACGATCTCTGTGATTGTGCTGGGGCGTCCAGGTTTATTCGGATGGGAGATAGAAGACGATTTAAAAATTGGATCATGTTGATCCACCTGGCTGTTCTAAAGGGAAAAAGTAAAAAAAAAAAAAAAACCTAACGCTACTCTTCCAGTTTTTCATTTTTTACTTTTTGTACTAGGCAGCGATGGAGGAAAAACATATTTAATTAAGTTTTTGCTATTCTGTTCCTGGGGCCAAAAGTTTCCGTTGCAAAAACTTAAAATCCTCACCTACAACCACAGACCGTTTCCTGACTCTCTTAATAGACTTCTGAGAAATTTTTAATCGAGTTATTAAAATATCAATTGGAGTGCAGGGTGTGCATCTTGGGAAATAATTTTAATCTTGTATGGAATATTGATGCCAGCAGCCACACAGGCAAGGTTTTTAAGCTATTTGAGTTGGTTTCGTTTTTTATTTTATCTACAAAGATAGTTACAAATCATAAAAATTAGTCTGTATTTTTCATATATATATAATTTATAGAGCCTTTTCCCCATGAATTTGAGCAATTCATCTGGACTTGGAGTGCTGAGGTTGGGGGAAGAAGCTCTCAGCAAAGGAGGCCCTAGTGCAGGTGTCTTTGGGGTGGGGCCCTTTCCAAAGCTCCACCTACAGACCTAGAATTTAAACTTGTGTCATCAGAGCCTACCTATCTTCCCATTTGGACATCTAATTCGTGTTGCCCAATTATCTTCACTGAATTCTGTGTAGTAATTAACCCTGTGAACATTTTCCTCCTGCCAGAGGTTAAGAAAGCTTTTCAGAGTCACCCCAAGATGGCAAAGCAGAAGAGGAAATTACCCTCAAATTTCCACTGCCACTGTATGCTGTTGTAACAAGTCCCAAGGGAAGTCCCTTCATAACTGACAAGAGCCCCACTCATTTGAGAGAGGAAGATTCAAACCTTACATTGCCCAACAGGCCAAGGCCTACTGAAATGCTATAGCTTCTGCATTGCAGTAAACACCTGTTGGGGACCTGCCCCATTCATCAGTCACTGCGTCATGTAATGGAGAGGAAAGTGCGATGCACCAGGCAGAGCCCCAGTACAAAGAAAGTTGAGTGAATCACTCTGAGCATATCCCTTTTCCCCAGACCTATGTGATCATTCAACAGATTTAAGGTATAGGAAATCCCCAGTACTATTCTGACCCTCATAGCAAGTCAAGAATTAGCAAGGCCTCTTCCTCTTTCCCTCAGTACTTCTCTGCCCTTTTGTGCCTTTTTTTTCCATTGAAGCTTGTTGTGTATGTTAATCAGGTTTCCCCTCATTAGTTAAGAGTAAAGTGAAGAGGGGTCCACCAAAGTGTGACTTGCCTTAAACTGTGAATTCCCTTAGACTGGAATTCTATGGGCTCAAGCCCCACCCCAACAGTTCCTTCATTAAGCACTGATTACATCCCGATAAATACTTAAAAATTCAATGCCCCCTCCTTGTCCTTTTACAGAGATACATTCTTTGAAAAACTGCTTAGATGGATAGTTTTCATGGCCATGCTTTGCAACAGCATAGAGATCTAGATTTTTATTTTGCCCTTCAAATTTCAGTGACTAAAAACACAAATTAATTCATTAGTAAACAGTGTTTGTTCTACTCAGATCGAAAAATACATTGTGATCTGCAGGTTATTTAAGGTCATTAAAAATAACTCTCTGATCATTGTGTCTTTAGCAAATTATATGCTACCCCTAGTTCCAATGCTATTTCCCTCTGTGGTCATTTATATCTCAGTTGCATCCCCTTTTATTTGATATTTGAAATAATCTAATGATATATTTTTAAATGATTATCTATACACACTCCTTCATAAAATTTCCTCTGAGCACAATAAAAAAGTAAAACTTTAAGCATGTATTAAATAAAATGTGGAAATTTCCTCTCATTGAAAATTATAATAGGATCGTGGAACAAAACATAAAACAGATTTAGTAGTTTGCAGAATTCCTTTATGTTACTTCCCAACTATATATCACATTCCCTAGTCGCTTTATTAAAATTTCACAAGAACCCAGATTCAACTAAAAGACTGCGTAGATTATGCAATAGAATGGCAGTTCTTATATTGATGGTGTGTTGTTCTTTAACCCCTCCTGGACCCGTTTCGGCACTTTGTGAATTGTGTAGCTGGATCGACTGTAAAAGAAAGAGGTTCAAATATCAACCACTGAAAAGGAATTAACTAAACTCATACAGAACAGAGGAATGTGTTGTCACAAGATCCACAGAATCTTTGTCATTATAATACAATTAAAGCTGTTAAAATAATTTTAGTCACACACATATTGTAAGGAACCTGCTAAACAAACACAAAATCTGCAAGGAAAATTTCCAGAGCAATTCAAATAATGGAACAAAAAAAACTTTAGACCGCAAATATTTTAGCCCTGCCTATTAAGGGAACAGTCCTTAATAATAATGGAGAATTGATAGTGGTGGGAAATAGCAGTGACTGCATTTAAGCTGAACTTGTAATCAAATTCTTATTTGATTATGTTTATGTGTCAGTTTTCACCCTTAGACCATGTTGTAACAAATATTTCTGGAGGCAAAATTAGTTTCTATGCTATTTACAGATAGGATGTAGAACATTCGCACTCTTTGCATCTTCCAGAGAGTACCTTAATCTTATAATCAAGCATTTAATTCACTTTGATGGAACACTTCTATATTTTATCAGTTGGTCTGAGTTGGAGTTTGTATCTGAAGTCCTACAGAGATCATTACATTTCTCAAGATTTGGAGTAATTGCAAGTCCTGAAATACAGTGCAATCAGCTTGAATCTGGAAGATTTAGTGAGCAGGGAGAAAGGAAGTAAATGCCAGAGGAATTCAAAGGCTGGATTAAGGAGGAGAGATTTTCATGGGAAAATAGAAACCCCAAGCCCATTAAACCAAGAAAGGAAGGAAGATAATGTCTCTAAATTATTCCAACGCTAGGTAGGTTAGGCATATGAAAACTGCAAGCAAATCCTGATTCACACTGGCCCTGATACCACCAAATTGCATTTGCTACGATGTTCTTTCTACATCTAATGATAGTATTTATTGAGTCTAGTAGCCCCACCTCAGCTCTCTAATATTAGTTTGATCAAGAATATGAATTAGTAAAGATTTTACAATTTCCTATTACCCTCTCTCTTTTCAGGGAATTTTAACCTGAGGTCGATTGATTTGCTTCAAGGCATCTGTAATCTTACTAAACTTATACACAAATTTTTACAAGCTTGTACCTATATGCATTTCTTTCCTTGGGACAAAGATTAAAATTTTAACTTTTATAAGTTTTCTTAATGAAAGCTCCATAAACCAGAAAAGATGCAAAACCAGCCCTCTACATGAAGCTAAAATTCATTCTTCTCTCATTACATGAATGCGTGCCTGGAACTATGCCAAGTGAAGGAAATACAAAGATTTTACAAAGATGCATATAAGAAGTAAATTCAGCCTGGCCAGGAAGATGACCTGCAAACAAACACATGCATTGTGATAGGTGCTATGCTAGAAATCTGTACAGGTATCTAGAGATAACTTATCCTTTTGCTTTCTCAGTGAGCCAAGAGGGGAAGAGGA